TTTAGAGGCACTCTTCATAAACTATAAACCTTTTTACTCGCCACGGGAGTTTTCCTCTTTCATTCTCGCAAATGTGTACATCCCTCCAGACACATGCGTGAGCGCAGCGCTTCAACAGCTGGCTGAACAAATAACTGAAATGGAGCAAAGTTACTAAGACGCTCTTTTAATCATTCTTGGAGATTTTAACAAAGCAAATCTTTCCTGTGAACTGCCAAAATACAGACAGCATGTTACATGTCCCACCAGAGACAGTAATATACTGGATCACTGTTACACTACAATAAAGAATACATATCGCTCTGTCCCACGGGGAGCTTTGGGGCTCTCTGATCACTGTTTGGTTCATCTTATACCGACCTACAGGCAGAAACTGAAATAATCTAAACCTGTATTAAGGACTTTAAAAAGATGGACTAATGAAGCAGAGCGGGATTTACAAGCTGCTTCGACAGCTTCCTGACAGACAGGCAGCAGCTAGTAAAGCTAGGACAATTCCCATCCAGCACCCGTACGATCAGCACTGGCACCCCCCAGGGTTGTATCCTCTTCCCACTGCTCTTCTGCTCTTACAGTGGAGTCATTCAGGTTCCTGGGCACCACAATCTCTCAGGACCTGAAGTGGGACACTCACAACGAGTCCATTGTTAAAAAGGCCCAGCAGAGGCTGTATTTCCTTCGCCAACTAAGGAAGTTTAACCTGCCACAGGGGCTGCTGAAACAGTTCTACTCCACCATCATTGAATTCATCCTCTGCACTTCAATAACTGTCTGGTTCAGCTCAGCTACCAAATCTGACCTCAGAAGACTACGTAGGATAGTCCGGACTGCTGAGCGAATCATTGGTATAACCCTCCCTACTCTCCGAGAACTGCACTCATCCAGAGTGAGCAAAAGGGCTAGCAAAATCACTCTGGACCCCTCACATCCAGCACACTCCCTCTTTGAACTGTTGCCATCTGGTCGACGCTACAGAGTACTGCGCACCAGAACAGCCAGGCACAGAAACAGTTTCTTATAAATTGTGTTTTTGCTATTTTGTACATTGTCTATTTTGTATATTTGTATATTATTCTTTTTATTATTTATGTCCTGTCTTGTCACTGTCATTCTGTGGAGCTTCTGTCACTAAAACAAATTCCTCGTATGTG